ACACAAACAAACAAACACACAAACAAACAAACACACAAACAAACAAACACACAAACAAACAAACACACTCTCAGACCCAAGCACGCCCAGACAACGCAATACACGATTATTACACGATATTAGAGCACACGATGTTTTTATGTGTATAGTATTGAGAAATAGTTAAAGGAGAACTTCGACGTAGTTCAGTTGACATACTATATCATTTATCGACATTACAACCCGGATGTAAAAATAAATAACATAACATATTTACAAATATGGTGGCCATGTTTGTGTTTACGACAATCAATTGTAAATATTATGTTGCGAATTTCAACACTCCTCTGTGTTCGGGACTGAGCGGGACGATGATTATTAAACGTTGAATACGTGGCCTAGCGATTGAACACGGGAATGATTTGGGACATATTTTATTTTAAAATGCACATTTTTATTATTTTCGTTAGATGAAGTAATCAAGAAAGAATAGTGCGACGGATGGTTACTTGTGAGTACACCAGTGTAGGATTACCTATGTCAATTAAATAACTATCTGGAAATGGGAAAAACCAACGATGAAATAGATTATAAAAAAGTGAAAACTGAAGTGACTTTTTTAAAGATGTATTTTGTCAGTTTTTTTTTGTTTGAATTTGTTGCGTATGTACTCGTATCGACGCAACGCGTCTCCAAACTCCGTAAGGAGCGTTGAGCGCACTGGAGTAATCCTCCGTTAAGAAGCGCCGTCTAGGAGCCGCTGCGTTTCAAGTCACGTCAGTCACAGTCAAGTCAGGGAATCGCCGTCAGGTAGCGTCTTCGCGCACGCGCCCTGCGTCATCTACCCATTGGACAGAAATGCGAAGGAATAAGGATAGGGGTAAGGACGCTTCACAGGGGTTGAATTGGCCCCCTGTAAAGTAGGCAAACTAGTTTTGTAGTAACAAATTTCACATGAGGTTCGAAGGCGATTCTACGGGAATCTGTGTAATGAAGGGCAAGCTGTCCTGAGCCACGAGAGCACGGACCAACCATCGTTCGCTTTACACCGGCCATTCCCTCCGACTTAACCACAGGCATATAACATCTAAGTATGGTTTTAGTTTTAGATTCGAACCGATGGAAATCACATGTGCACCTTGATCAGGAGTGTACACTGTCATGGCTAAATCAACATTTTACAGTCAGGGATGAAAAACACTTGCTTATATGCTTCGTTTAGGACAACTACGTCAATGGAAGAAATAAAATTCGCAAGTTGAAGTGGAAAGTATCATATAACAATGAAAAAAGGTCTGAGATCCCAATTGGGGTCCCTGGCAGTTTATAGGTTAATACTAATGCGAAATATTTATTTTTTAGAGAGATTGTTATAATTATTTGAGTACAGTACATGATAAATATAACTAAATTTCATCAATTAACACGATTAGGAAATGTAAAAATTACCCAAATACGTTTTGCTACATACGTGGTATAGTGTCGTTACCAGGGCAGAGATCAAACCTTACATTTGTGATGGCCAGCTATTACGCTTACTTTGATATGAAATTGAGAGATCAGGGCCCGCTTAGACGATGGAATAAGGGAATCACAAACGCAATTACCTACGGTGTGAAGGGAAGGAAAGGATCAGTTAACATGTTGCTAATTTTGCTTGACAAAATTACTAGATAAGTAATGTCGAGAGACTTCATTTCATATTTCAGAGGTAGAGTATCAATGTCTGGGACATAAATATGATGGGTAACTTTTGTCAGTGTCTGAGAAGATATATAGACACTAATGCCAAAGAAAAATTGGTATAACCATGAGTATTAAAATCAAGAGATCTGGAAATTCTAATTTGAATATGGCGCCCCGGTTAGCAACGACTATATAAGACAACCAGAGTCTGGCACAGTTGTTACATCTGTTACTACTGCTACAATGGCAGGTTATAACGATATAAGTACGTTTGAACGTGGTGTAGGAATCTGCGCAAGAGAGATGAGGTATATCATGTCCGAGGTTGCGATGAAATTTGTATTTTCCCGTACGATCATTTCACAAGTGTATCGTGAATATCGGGAATCCGGTTAAAAATTAAACCTCCGGCATCGCTGCCACCGCAAAAAGATCGGGCAAGAAAGGGACCGACGACACTGATGAGAATCATTACACATGACAGACGTGCAACCCTTCCGCAAATTTCTGCAGATTTCAATGCTGGGCCATCAATAAGTGTCAGCTAGAGAACCATTCATGAGACATTATCGATATTGGGTTTGGAAGACGAAGGCACACTCGTGTATCCTTGATGACTGCACGAAAAAAAGCTTTACGCCTCGTCTGGGCCGACACCGACCTTGGACTATTGATGAAACGTTGCGTGGTCTGACGAGTCTCGTTTCACATTGTTTCCAGTGGATGGACATGGCGACCTCATGAATCCATGGACCCTGCATGTCAACAGGGGACTGTTTAAGAAGCTGGAGGCTCTGTGATGGAATGGGGCGTGTACAGTTGGAGTAATATGGAACCCCCTGAAACGTCTAGATACGACTCTGACATGTGACATGTACGTAAGCATTTTGTGTGATCACATGCACCCATTCATGTCCATTGTGCATCCAGACGGACTTGGACAATTCCAGCAGGACAATGC